CTCTCTTGGGTGGCTGCCAGCCCTGGCCACCCTTGACCTGGGCCAAAGAAGGGTGCTTGCTAGGGCTGATGGAAGTGATGACAGAGCTCAAGTGGGCAGGCTTTGGGCCTAATCACGGTGGGAGGCGAGAGTGACAGGACACCGCATCCGCCTGCCAATACAGGGGACACGGGTTTGAGCCCTGGTCCCGGAAGATCCCACATGCCGCGGAGCAACTAAGCCCGGGCGCCACAACTACTGAGCCTCCACTCTACAGCCCGCGAACCACAACTACTGAAGCCCACATGCCTAGAGCCCATGCTCCACAACAAGAGAAGCCACCACAGTGAGAAGCCCGTGAGCCACAGCAGAGTAGTCCCTGCTCGCTGCAACTAGAGAAAGCCCATGCACAACAACGAAGACCCAACGCAGCCAAAAAATAATAAATAAATAAAATAAATAAATTTATTTAAAAACAAAGAGAAAGGACATACTATATGAATATCCACATTTTTACTACTGAGTTATGCATATTATTTAATATAACTTTTTTTATATAAAGTTATTTTTGTACTCAAAAGAATCAGCAATGGTCAAAGCAGATCCTAATGTTCTTGGAAAGAAGGAGCACTGCACCAATGCCCAGCGGCTGCACGTACCAACTGATGAGACAACCCCAGTCTCTAGGATGGACAAGAGGCAAGACTATCCGAGAAGTAACCAACCAACCAACCAATCAACCAAACAGACAAAACCAGCAGAGGAAAGATTATAAGTCAACAGGAGAAAACTGGAGTCCAATCTGAAAAGAGTATTTCAGTTTTCTGGGAATTTAGGAAACATATTGACTCTGCCTTTTCTCCTCCTCATGGTTGTAAATTTTAATCACTGTAATTGGTAACAATTTCCTCTTCGCCCTTTGGCTCAAAAGCCTCTTAAACTTTTGAAGTATTTGGGCCAGTCCATTCATTCATCCAAAGTATGCTGAGTGTCTCTAAGGAACTATATGAGATACAAAAGAAGCACAAAATGGGCTTTTTCTCCTTAGGGAGGAAAGAGGCACAATACAGAACCCTAATGATTGCAAAATAAGTGCCAGAGTGCTGTGTCCCTGTAATGGGCTATTGGAATTCACAAAAAGGAGGCTGGAGTCAAAGATGAGTCTGGAGCTGGGCTTTGCAGCCAAGGCCAGGCTGGCAGCAACTGGAGTGAGCCCAGTGGGATTGTGGTGCAAGAGAATGGAGAATGGAAACTATGAGCTGGAAATCTAGGACCAGAGCAAAGGTGGAGATGAAGCCAAGCGGGAGAGGCGGACAGTGTCTGGCCAGCCCCATCAGCCCAGCAGGGGTTCTTGGTCCTGGAGAGAATGGTCATGTTAGGAGTCAGCCCAGAAGTTCCCAGTCTTTCGCCACAGCCCTTCTCCCCCATCCATCTCACTGCTCTCTCTTGGGTGGCTGCCAGCCCTGGCCACCCTTGACCTGGGCCAAAGAAGGGTGCTTGCTAGGGCTGATGGAAGTGATGACAGAGCTCAAGTGGGCAGGCTTTGGGCCTAATCGCGGTGGGAGGCGAGAGTGACAGGACACCGCAGGGATTGTGTGTAAGGGTACCAAGGAGAAGGTGGGCAGGTCTCAGCTAGCACAGGTTCCTGGACCATCTGTGACTGCCAGCTCTGTCTATCCATCCGTGCCTAGGACAATAATTGGCTGTGCTTAAACAGAAAAGCAGAAAAACAGAACTGAATTTGCCTGAGCTAGCACCTTCCACTCATATATCTTCAAATGTCACATATAAATATCAATAAGGTAATGAGAAGGGCATGCTTTACAAGCCTAGGAAAGGCACACGTTGGTATCTACCTAAGAAACCAATAAAATGTGGTGATGTATGTCTAGGAGAGGTCAGAGTTAAATTCTCTGTTTAATTCTCAGTTAATCTCTAATATTCTTACTATTATTAATATTTCTCTCCTACACGTAAGATGAAGTGGCCAACAGGGCTAAGCATGGCCTGTGGGTCACAGCTGGAAAATATCATGCCACAGCACTTTTGGATGAACTGACAAGCATTTATAGTAGTTTTCCAGAGTGTGGTACGGGATCTGCTGTGTCAGAATCATGGGGCTTGGTAGTGTGGTTTATGAAAATGTAGATACTTGAGCTCCACCCCAGCTCTATTCTCTACTTTCTGGCGCTGAAGCCCAGAAAGCCCCATTTTAACCAGTGCTCCAGGTGATTCTTATGCACACAGAAGTTTAAGAACCACTGTTAGAAGCTCATGCTTTAGGAGTTGGGAAACTTACTAATATCACAAAGCCATCAGGTCTCATCATCATTAATTTTTAATGATAGAAAGGGAGCATTTAAGTTAACGTTTTGATAGCACTAAATAGGACAGAGTGGCTTACACTGAAAACCAGAAAACTCATTCAAAAATAACCGTGTCTAATAAATTGAATGCAATAGAGTAAAGCCAAGTGACTTCACAGAAAGACCTGTTTAAGCATTACAGGGACGCTCAAGATGAGTCATAATCTAAACACTGATGATATCGTTCATCCTAAGCCTTTCTTAGTCTCAGTCAAAATCTAAGAAAGAAGAGAAAACCGCCTGAGGGGTGCAGGTGTCATTTGTTACCTGTGTCGTGTCCCCCCCCCCCCCCCCCCCCCGCCCACTAGAGTACTAGAACTCTCATTAGCCCCCCCCCCCCCCCGCCACTCCGTCACCAGAGGCACTCCACAGAGCAGCTGTCTGTGCTTCCGCCCAATATCCTTAGCCTTAGAGGAACTTAAAACTCTAAAACTTTTAGGGAGTTCCCTGGCAGGCTAGTGGTTAGGACTCAGCACTTTCACTGTCATGGCCCAGGTTCAATCCCTGGTCAGGGAACTAAGATCCTGAAAGCCATGGGGAACAAAACAAAACAAACAAACAAACAAACAAAAAACTCTAAAGCTTTTAGGAAAAAATTAGAAAAACATTTCAGGATACGGGATTAGGCAAAGGGTTCTTAGACTTAACACCAAAAGCACAATTCATAAATGGAAAATGATAAATATGACTTCATCAAAATTAAAAACTTTTGTTCTGTGAAAGACCCTATTAGGAGGATGAAAAGATAAGCTACAGAGTCGGAGAAAATATTTGTAAACCACATATCCAACAAAGGACTAATATTTAAAGAGCTCTCAAAACTCAACTACCAAAAAATAATCTATTTGGAAAATAGACAAGAGACGTGAACAGGTATTTCATGGAAGACAGCATACCGATGGCAAATAAGTTCATCATCGTTAGCCATTAGGGAAATGCATTAAAACTGTAATGAGATATCACCACACATCTATTAGAACAGCTAAAATAAAAATTAGTGACAACAACAAATGTTGGTAAGGATGCAGAAAAACTGGATCACTCATCAATACATTGCTGTTGGGAATGTAAAGTGGTACAGCCACTCAGGAAAACAATCAGCAGTTTCTTTAAAAGCTATGCAATTATGATCCAACCCAGCAATTTCACTCCTGAGTATTTATCGTAAAGAAATTAATACTAACCTTCACACAAAAACCTGTACATGAATGTTTATAGCAGCTTTATTCATAATAGCCAAAAACTTGAAACAGCCCAGATGCCCTCCAATGGGTGAATAATTAAAGAAACTGTGGTACCTCAGTACCACGGAAATACTGCTCAGTAATACAAAATAATGATCTATTAATATACACAAGAATCTGGATGAATCTCCAGAGAAATATGATGAGTAAAAAAAGACCAACCCAAAAGGTTACATATTATATGATTCAACTTATATAACATTCTTGAAATGAAAAGAAATGGGGAACAGATTAGTGGTTGCCAAAGGTGAGGGAAGAAATGAAGGTGTGGTTGCCAAGGGTTAGGGAAGGGATGAAGGTGGAAGCAAGTGGATGTGACTATAAAAGGACAACATGAGGGATCCTCTTGGTTACGGAAATGTTCTGTATCTTTGCTATATAAATGCCAACATCCAGTTTTGATATTGTATTACAGTTTTCCAAGACGTTACTTTGGGGCAAACTGGGTAAAATGTACGAGGGATCTCTCTGTATTATTTCTTACAACTGCATGTTAATCTACAATTATTTTTTTAAATTGTAAATAAAGAAATGTAATATTAGTATTACATGATCTTTTTGGTAGCTTCTCCACTCTATTCTATTTTAAGCTTCCATTCAGCCAGATGGCAGGAATTAGATCTCAGGCAACTGAGGGTCTCCCTACTTCCGTATATCTAAGTTTCAGGGAGCTTAACACGATGCCAGTCTTGGGCTTGGTGTCATCATCTAGGCTGGTGTCCACCCAGAGTAGTTTACAGCCATCTGTCCACCTGACACTGTTGTATCCTCTTCACCTTCGGGGCTATGCTTCCACCCAGGTACTCTGATAGTTCTTCCTCTCAACTGGAAGCAGGAAAACTTCAGAGGCTGCCTCTGGTCTTTTTACCAGATACACTCAATGGGCTTTCTTACTCCTCAAGCCCACGGGGTGGAGGGACTTGAGGATTATCTTGGGTACTGGGGTCACAGGTCTCCTTTGTCCTAAGGTCCCTCAGCCTATCTGGCATCTTTTGAGACCCCACTGAACCCAAGGTTCGTTTGGTAGCTGCGATGGGCTCCAGGCCCCATGTTAGGTATCTGTGGGTATCTAGTACTTTTTGCTTCCTTTCTGATCCCGCTGTCTCCCAATTCAAATTTTATCTACCCTGAGGGCAGAGAAGGGTGTGTGACAAGGTCTTCCAAATCTTACATCTTAGATCTGGTCCTTACACTTTTCTCTCCTTCCTTCTCAGAATTCTACTGAATCATCCTTCTACTGAGGGCATAGCATAAGCATAGAACCCCTACATTGCTGCTTGAACTGGTCACAGAGTAACAGGAAGTATGGAGGAAAATCCTCTTGTCAACATATCAACATAGTATCCCGTGGTATTTTCTACAGTCTTTCTGATCTTGATTCACTTACTCTCCTACTTGTCTCTCCCTTCAGCTTGTGGCCCAAGTCCTGGAACATAAAGATATAGGCTTTGTGATGGTGGATGCCAAGAAAGAAGCCAAGCTTGCCAAGAAACTGGGTAAGTGTGATTTTCTTTGAGATATATCATGAAGAAACAAATGTGTCTTGCAAAAAAAAAAGTACAGTCATTTTTTCTTGCATGATAACTAGACTATTTTTAAATAAATTTAAAATGATCCTGCATACCTTAATCTTGGCTTGGGGAAGAGTCTCACAAAAGTAAATACAGGTCTGAATTAAATAATTTCACATTAGTCATCTAATATATCTTTGTATCAGTACAAGGAAGAGGGTTTCTTCCTGGAGAAATAGACACTAAAGATTCAAACCTTGGGCTTCCCTGGTGGCGCAGTGGTTGAGAGTCCGCCTGCCGATGCAAGGGACATGGGTTCGCGCCCCGGTCCGGGAGGATCCCACATGCCGTGGAGCGGCTGGGCCCGTGAGCCATGGCCGCTGAGCCTGTGCGTCCGGAGCCTGTGCTCCGCAACGGGAGAGGCCACAACAGTGAGAGGCCCGCGCACCGCAAAAAAAAAAAAAAAGATTCAAACCTTTATTTCCAGCTTCTAGATCATGTTAAAAGGCTAGCTTCTCGATGGCGGGTGGGAAGTATAAATTAGGAATTTGGAAGTAACATATACACACTACTATACATAAAATAGATAAATAACAAGGGCTTACTGTATAGCACAGGGAACTATACTCAATATTCTGTAATAACCTATATGGGAAAAGAATCTACAAAAACCAAATATATATGCATGTATAACTGAATCACTTTGCTGTACATATGAAACTAACACAACATTGTAAATCAGCTATACGTCAGTTAAAAAAAAAAGCCTAACCTCTCTATCTCACTGACATGGTGAACCCTTTGAGGGAGATCAAATCTCTTTTTCCAACACCTATTATTTCCTGACCTCTTGGCTGAAGCAGCCAACAAAGAATGTCATTAATAGTAGTGACTCTAGGGTCCCAGTGGTTTCTAAATTTAAGTCCAAAGCCCAGCTGGGCATTGTCACCAAGGGTGAAAGGGAGGATTTAGATGAGGTATGGTTAAGCAAGCGACTGCACAGTGCAAGTTGTAATCTCTTGTGTCAATATGTCATGGTTAAGTGCAAGTGCGATTTAAGATTCTTACACCTCTAATCCCAAAGAGACAGAGTATACGTTACTCCGCTGGGTTGAAACACCCCCAGATGTGTATTGCCCATTTCACTTTTTCTGCATGAGCAGTGAAGGGTGGCTATTAAAAGAGAGCAGGAGGTTATAAAACAGGACCTTTGAAGAAAGGTTAATTGGATTTGGAGTAGTAAGCACAGGATAAAAAAGATTAGTGGTGGTTCAGTAAATACCTTCAGGCACGCGAAACTGCATTATCTTAGAGAATTTCAAACAACTGTTTTCTATTTTATTTTCAAGAATAGCTTTTTTAAAGAAAGATTTAAATTGTAAGAAACAATATTTAGGTTAACTACAAGGAAGAACTCATGACTATAAAATAATAATGAATTATTATTTTTTTTATTTTGCGGTACACGGGCCTCTCACTGTTGTGGCCTTTCCCATTGCGGAGCACAGGCTCCAGATGCGCAGGCTCGATGGTCATGGCTCACGGGCCCAGCCGCTCCGCGGCATTTGGGATCCTCCCAGACCGGGGCATGAACCCGTGTCCCCTGCATCGGCAGGCGGACTCTCAACCACTGAGCCACCAGGGAAGCCCTCCCTTCCCACTGTTTTAATGAGAAGTTGAATTTGGGAGAATTTCCAGTAAATTTAGTTAGAGGAAAAAGCTGGTGTTCCAGAAATCTAAAAATTTAGGGAGGACAAGCTGGGTAAATATTCATAAGAATGGACTGGTGGATATCCTCCCCATGGAGGATGTGATGGGGGTTTAAATGTCTAAATGAACCTCTAAATGAAATGGGGCAGGTTCTTTCTGACTATTCGATCCTCGGAGTTTACAGGACAGTTGTATTTTGTGGCCCTGCTCCTTGATCTCCATCCCCATTTCCATGTGCCTGAGTTTGGTCTCTGGACTGGTGCAACAACCTCTTAACTGGTTTCACTCAGAGAAAAATCTAACAGCAGGACACTGGCTGAGGTTCCCCATGGCACCCTTTGTGATCAGTCACTGCCTGCTTCAGGGATACCTGGCCCATTGCTCCTTTAGATTTACAAACGGTGCTCCATGGTGTGCCATGGGTTCTTCAGAAGTGCCCTGGGACACGGTGGGCAGTGGGCCAGCCTCCCTTTCCTAGAGGTTCTGCAGAAGAGTTCATCTGGAGAAGGCATCCTTCAGCTAATCCGAGAGTTTGAAAACAATTAATCTAAGGAATTAAGGATGCCATGCCGTTGGACTTAAGGCCAGCCTCAGCTATTTAGCATTCCTGGGGAGAAATGCAGTTCTCCAGCAAGCATCTGTGAAAGTACACAGCATTACGCTGAGAGTGACGGAGGGTAGGAAAGAAGATGCAGAACCTGCCCTTGCAGCGTTATCAGCAGACTGGGAAAAGATGTGCAGAATTCAGCTACAATAGAAAAGCAAGCTGTTCATTCTGGCTGCAAACATTTATGGGGAGCCCAGTGTGTCCAGACTCCATTCAAGGCACTGGGATCCCAAGAGGACAGCAGCCCTACCCTTATAGAGGGCTCGCTGTTATAGTGAATACCTCTAAATGGAGCTGAGAGTAGATCCATAATGGCAAGGGAGATTGGAGCAGCCTTCTCTGGAAAAATGGGTCGTAAGCTGAGACCCAAAGGAGTTGACCGAGATGGGCAAGGGGGTGGTGGTGGTGGTGAAGGTCACTCTAGGCCCAAGGAGAACATCTGTGCAGAGAATCGTGTGCTGTGATTTTTCCTTCATGTCCCCTTTCACAGCAGCTCTTGGGCAGAAAGCCAAGGGAGTTGCACAGGGATGAGGAATGCAGTTCTCAAGGGAGCATGGGTCCACCCAAGGGAGGATGTAAAGGATAGGGCTGGCACTAGGTTGTGGAAGGGCTTGAATGCCAGGCTAAAAAGCCAGGTAGGCAGTGGGCATGAAAACTTTTTGATAAGGAGAATGGGGTCAGCAATACTTTTGGAAAATTAAAGCAGTGGTGGAGTGGAGATTAGATTTTTGGTTCTTGACTATTTCATTTTGAGTTTCCACTCTGGGAGCCCTTCAGAGGTGTGGCTGCAAGGGAACTGATCCTAGGGTTCATGCTAGTTCCACTGAGCCTGACCCCATGTCACCCAGGGACCCTGAGCCAGACCGTGGCCAATAGGATGGCTCTTCCTACATCGGAATGACTTTATTTGGGGAACCCTTTGTTTATTTTTTAGGTTTTGATGAAGAAGGAAGTCTGTATGTTCTTAAGGGTGATCGCACAATTGAGTTCGATGGCGAGTTTGCAGCTGACGTCTTGGTGGAGTTTCTCTTGGACGTGAGCATTTATGCACAGTGGCCCTGCATGGCACTGTTTGGGTTCAAATACAGGGGGAAGTAAAAGCCCAAAGTAAGAACAGAGAAGGTGAATAAGCTGACCTGGTCTAAGAAAGATATCTCAAGCTTCACAAAAAAACGAAAGCATGCCTATATCACGGCAATACGTCTACTGGGAAGCTGGCCCTTCAATCACCTCAGAAACTATTTTATTAGCGACCAGAGGGTCACATATCAGGACTGTGTAGTCGTAAGATGTTAATTCTCTTAGCAATTATACACAAACATCCCCAGAATCCCCTTGGCTTTGTTCCAGGGCTTCTGAAGAAAAGTGTAGGGGAGAGAGTTGGATAGTACCTGGAAGATGGGGTAGGGAGAGGGGTAACAGTCAGCTGAGTGACCCCTCAGGCAGGATGAAAAGAGGCAGGGCTAATGAGACACCCAATATCACACTCCCTCTCAGCCACGGAGGTCCAACACCCTGGGATCCACGTGCTCAGGCAAACAGAGCAACAAACATTATAAAAATATTTTTCCATAGATGAACTCACACTTTCAATAACAGCTGTGAAGTCAAGTTCTTTTGAACACAGGTGCCTGTGCAGATAAAGAACATCCATAACGGTGATTCCTTATCTACCAGCTAGAATACAGTGGCCTATTGCCTTTTCCCCACTGCCTCAGAAACCCAGAGAGAGGGTCGGAAGTAAGTTGGAGGTTACTTCCTACAAAAAAGTGCGCATAGGCTCTGCTTGGCCCTCTCGCTAACCCATACCTATAAGCCCTCAAAAAAGCTGAGGGAGGCAACAGGACAACTGTGGGCCCAATGGCCCTGCTCTGGCTCTGTCAACCAGGAGGGCGCTTTTAGATGCAAGTACCTTAACGAACAAGCAGTGTCATTGACCCACACAAATGGAAGACCAGGGCGAGGGAAGATTTTAGGCTTGATCAGTCAGGGCTGTAGCTCCATTTTTCTCTGTAAATCACAGATAATGTTCTTTTCGGTGTGTTGACTTTGTCCTCAGGCTGACTATTCTCAAGTTGGTTATAAGATAGCCAGAAGCAGGAGCTGATATATCACATTTCCTCATTCATATCCACTGAGTGGGGGGAAAAATCCGGCCTCCCATTGCTCTCTTAAAAGGAAAGTAGAACTTTCACCAGGCCTTCAGGCTTATCTACCCTGGAGATTCATTGGCCAGAATTGGGTCACATGCCATTCCTGAATCAATAACCAGCAAGGGAAATGGAGTTGCCCCCAGACCGATCAGCCTACCCCTTGAGGTAAGGTCAGTTCCTCTAAGAAAAGGACTGTGCTCGCGGGGGAAGGTGGGGTGGCCATTGAAGCACCAGGACCTAGTCCACAACTTCCCTCCAAAGCACTCTATACATGTTCCTGATTTCCCCTCTGAGGAGGGAAAAGTTCTCTTATTTGAACAGCTTTTGTGTCGTGTGTGTGGCATTCCAGCTCATTGAAGACCCCGTGGAGATCATCAACAGCAAACTGGAAGTCCAAGCCTTTGAGCGCATTGAGGACCATATCAAACTCATCGGCTTTTTCAAGAGTGAGGACTCAGAGTGTAAGTTGTCTGTCAGCCCCAGCCTGTCACTCTAAAGGCCCTTTTCCCAACAAGGTGTGTTAGATTATCCAGAAAGAAGATGAGCCATTAGCACATCATGTGCTGGGTAGAATAGAGGGAGAATCTTCCTTGCACCCTATGGAATGGGACAAATGAGCAGAAATTATGCAAAACAGGCAGGGGAGCTGAAAGAACATTAAGGTTGGGCCTTGTTTGCTGACCTTGAAGGGGGCCGAGTATTTGACAGAAGAGAGAAAAACCCTTCCTCCACCTTTTCCACCTGCCCACCAACCCGTGGGATTCTCTCCCCAGATGGGGCAGAGTGTGGGCTGTCTCTCTGACATCGGCAGCTCCTGTGGTCAGCAGTTGGAGAGCTTCTCAGTTACTTGGACAGCATTAGAGGAAAATCTGGGTAGGGATGGGCTTGGGAGCTACAGCACAATGTGGAAGACTGCTGGCCAACCCCCCTGACCACCAAGGCTGCCTGCAACGGCACAGCCACGCCCTTTGGTACACTCCCCTTGAAAGCTTTGTGGCCAGCTTTGGGGTGGGCAGAGGAACATATCAGACATCACCACAACCCACACAGGGGTGATTGGCGTAGCGAGTGGGAGTCAGGAAGAGTCAGGAAGAGAAGGAACCAGGAAGGCCAACTACTTGAGGACACTTTTTTAAACCGCTTTGGCAACAAGGGCCCTATATGACTTAAGGCTTTTTCTGGTGTCTGAGCCTTGGAGACAGAGACAGTGTTAGAAGGAGTGGGCATAACTATGAAAGAGAATCTGGTAGCATTCGTACGTGTGGGAGGTGCAAATAAGGGCTGCTCGTGACTATTTCTGGAAACTTCAAAATATTTTGAAATTATTTGTAAAGCCGTTTCTGTACCCCATCGGCCAACTGGCATCCTTAGTCGTCTCATCAACAACCCACCTATTTTGTCTCTCTCATGACCCAACTGTCTTCTCATTTACTACATAAAAGCCTCCTCTATTCACCCTCCTTAAGGGTGTGTTTGTGGGAAGGAGCCTAGCCAGGGAGTCTCAACCAAGTTTTTTAGGTGACTTTATTTCAATTTTCACATTCCTATATAGATGCTGACTACTCCGGGGTGCTTCTCCTGACCCCTTCTACTTTCTCCTCTTTATTTCACTTCCTTCTATTTCCCTTAATCCTTTTCTGCCTTCCCCGACCCCCTCAATTGTTCCTATCCACTTCCATTCTTCTGTTTCTCTCTCTTCCTCCATTAAGGTCAGGATAGCATATAGGGAGGTAGACGAGGCCAAGATTGGGATAAGAAACACATCTTCCAGGGAACTCCCTGGTGGTTCAGTGATTAGAGCTCTGCGCTCTCACTGCCGAGGGCCAGGATTCGATCCCTGGTGGGGGAACTAAGATCCCACAGGCCGCACGGTGTGGCAAAAAACAAAACAAAACACATCTTCCAGTTTATACCTTCCCCCACCCTAAATGAATAACAATAATAGCTCCATTTAACTAACATATATCCTATGCCAGGGCCCATGCAAGGAGCTTTCTGTAGACGCCTTAGTTTCATTCTCACAACTAGCCTGTAAGGCAGTTACCATCATTATCAGCATTTTAATGATGAGGAAATGAAGGAACAGAAAGGTTGAGTGAACTCACCCAGTATCACACAGCTAGCAAATAAATGGTAGAACCAAGGTTTACACCCCAGACATCTGACTTTAAGGCTCATACACTGAACCACTGGGCTGCACTTTCAAGACTTCACAGCTTTGTCAGGTCATGGCACACATGAAATGTGATCATGTTTATAAGGCACATAGTGGTAAACTGGAAGAGATTTACTTGGGCTTAGCAAAAAAAAAAAAAAATTTACCTTCTTAATATAATAATATACAAAATAATAGGAAAGATATCAAATATTACATTGTATAAAACTACCAAGTAAAATATTTTTAGATTTTAAATGGAAATCTTGTGCTTGTTTCTAAGAATATAGCTTTTGGTATTAGGTTTTATGCTTGAAATAGCAACATACAGTTCCTGATCAAGGTTTTAAATGATCTCTTTGAATTCTGCATAGTCATCCTTGACCAGAGACTTTGCTGGCACGTGTGGATGGTGGCAAATGACAGGACAACATTCACTGCTTTTTCTTTGATTGATGAACCATCTTTTCTTGCCATTGAACAGAATTTAGATAACCTAATCTCTAAATTGTCCTTCAGGAATGTGAGCATTCTTTCCATCTAACAGCTATTACTTTCAATGACAAATGTACTGTTAATATTTCTTATGATCATTTAAATAGATTTCAAATCCAACCGAACTCTTTTTTTTTTTTTTTTTTTTGGCGGTACGCAGGCCTCTCACTGTTGTGGCCTCTCCTGTTGCGGAGCACAGGCTCCGGACACGCAGGCTCAGCGGCCATGGCTCACGGGCTCAGCCGCTCCGCGGCATGTGGGATCCTCCCGGACCGTGGCACGAACCCATGTCCCCTGCATCGGCAGGTGGACTCTCAACCACTGCGCCACCAGGGAAGCCCTTGAAAGAAATATTTTTAATTTACAAAGACAAACAATAATACATTATGAAAATTGCATCTAGAATTAGATTGGCTAATTGTTAATATTTACAGGCATTAGAAAAAAGAAAGAAGGACGGTAGGAAGAAAGGATGGTAGGAAGGAAGGGATAAATTGAATAATTCAGAAAATTAAGAAAATCAGTTTTGTCCTCTTTAGGAATACCTAGTGCCAGATTACTGATTACGATGATTACTAACCTAATAAACAGATAGCAATCATGCATTCCATTGGTGTTAGTAGAAAAATATGAACATTACAGTAAATTAAATCAAAAGAAAAAACCGAAATATTTTAGAGTCTCACAAACCAAAAAACTTCACTGATGATAAACAAACTTGGACTAAAGTAACAATCACACCGAGAAGATCCAGTGGGGAAGACAGGGGAGCAGCCTCTCTCTAGCTGTGATGCTCGCTAGTCTTAGGCACAAAATAATTGTTATTGAAACAGAACATTTATAGAGGGAGCCATTGTTTTCAAATATAATATTAACTACCGTAAAATCTGAATGGCTGTAGGAAACATCTAGAAAGATCTACCACCAAAAAAATTTATGTCTATCAAGCTCCTTGTAACATACCCGTGGCCATCACACACTGGCTGAAAGCATCAGGATGTTCTACTAGGCATCCCCGTCTCTCTGTCTGTTTCTTCTTGCCTTTCAGAAGAGGCCAAGGTCAGCGGGTGGGGAAGCTAGGAGTGGATAAGGCACCCAGGGAAGCAGTTGTTGAGAGTCCTATATTTCTGCTGTAGTTTGAGGGTGATTGGTCAGGAAAGTTTAATGGCACAGAAGGCATTGGCTTTGCAGATGGTCCCAAGCTTTTCTACAGAGCAAGAACGATGGAGAGACAGTGGAGAAACTGGAAGGATTTAAAACATAAGTAGACTGGAATAGTCTTAGCAGAAAAGGATGCCTAAGAGATTTGGTACCAGATTAGAAAGGACCTGGAAGAACTGGGAGGCTACACCTTCCAGGGAGGTTGGGCATGAAAGTCCATCTCCAGCTTGAGCATGTAGCTATGGGTGCTAGCGTTGAGCGAGCGTGACAAGAACTTCCTAGGGGAACTCAGCTGATGGTTAAGAATGCCAAACTGGGGGAAATGTGGAGCTAAAGGGTCGATACCCAGTAAGGAAAACCTGGAGGGATGGGCCAGAAAGGTGAGAAAATGCTAAGACACGTCTGGAGGTTGAAGGCTGGATGTTCAGGAGCCCATTCCAGAGGGCAAAGAGGAAATATCGTATAATATCGCTTATATGTGAAATCTAGAAAAATGATACAGATGAACTTATTTGCAAATCAGAAATAGAGACACAGATGTAGAGAATGGACGTGTGAATACCAGGAGGGAAGTGGGGTGGTGGGACGAATTGGGAGATTGAGACTGACATATTTACACTACTATGTATAAAATAGATAACTGCCGAGAACCTACTCTATGGCACAGGGCACTCTATTCAAAGCTCTGTAGTGACCTAAATGGGAAGGAAATCCAAAAAAGAGGGGATACATGTATAGGTATAGCTGATTCACTTCGCTGGACAGCAGAAACTAACACAACATTGTAAAGCAACTATACTCCAATAAAAATTAATCAAAACAAAACAAAAACAAAAAGCAAACTAACAAACAAACAAAAATAGGATGCGAGGGCAGGAAAAATCTAGGGAATCACATGAGATCAAATAGAGCAGAAGACTAGACAGGGTTTCCTAGAAGACAGCTGTTGTTTGGGCACGAGGCTAAAGGCTCAACCACAGTTTGAAAGCACCAACTTGGCGAATTACCTTTCTCTACGCTTCTTCATCTTAAAAGGGATGTAGATCGGCTCCTCACGTGAGGAAGAGAGATCTCCGGACACAGATCAGGGCCATTCTTTTTTTTTTTTTTTGCGGTACGCGGGCCTCTCACCGCTGTGGCCTCTCCCGTTGCGGAGCACAGGCTCCGGACGCGCAGGCTCAGCGGCCGCGGCTCACGGGGCCAGCCGCTCCGCGGCACGTGGGATCTTCCCGGACCGGGGCACGAACCCGTGTCCCCTGCATCGGCAGGCGGACTCTCGACCGCTGCGCCACCAGGGAAGCCCAGGGCCATTCTTTCTATGACGATAGGGGTTCATGGAGGTGGGGAGAGGTTCACCCGGAAGAGGGGGTCTGGGAAGAGGGGACAGAGGATTCTCATGGAGCCCACTGCTGCCTTAGAGAGACGTAAATAACAGGTACGGCTATAACCACTCCACTTTCTATACTCTCCCACTTTCTCTCTATTCATTCTCCACATCTCTCACCCACCTCCTTCCCCTCCACCTAATGCTCTATCCCAACTCTCAGGTTTTATGATATATTTTCTGACGACCCAGCTACTTTTATGAGGAATGAGTTTGTGTAAACGTGTATCAGCTTGTACAGCTGTTCTTGTAAATTTTTCAACCCCTGTCTCGCCTGTGTTTATTATGCTTTCCTCTATTCTAGCAGCTATCACTTGCATTGTGGTTCTTTAAGCGCCCATAACCCTCCTTGGCTGTGAGCCTTTGAGATCAGTGTCCTTGTCTTACTCGTCTTGGTGTCCCCTGAGTCAGCATGATTCTTGAAATGTTTTTCATTGAATATTAGAAAATTCTGCCTGCTCCTGGGATTCTAGCTAAAGTTTATGCCTCTGATGATTAAGAGATATGAAAGTCCATGAAATGGAAAAAAAGGTAATCTTGTTAAGAATGAATCATAGGATCATTGACTCTCAGGATTATAGACGTTATGCAGAACAACCACCAACACCAACACCATCACCATCACCCTCACATATCAGGAATACGAATGTCTTTACCAAACAATAACTATCTAGGTGTAGTGAGGCACAGCATGGCCACACTCATGTGGTCTCATGCTTATCTTGACCAGTTTAGATTCAAGTTTGGGGCCAGAATCAAGCAAGGGCTTGGTTAATTTTTTTTTTTTTTTTTTTTGTCTGCATCGTATCTTAGTTGCAGCACGCGGGATCTTTGTTGTGGCACTCGGGCTCTTCGTTGTGTTGCACGGGCTTCTTTCTAGCTGTGGCATGCAGGTTTTCTCTTCTCTACTTGTGGCACGCAGGCTCCAGGGCGTGTGGGCTCTGTAGTTGCGGTGTGTGGGCTCCAGAGCACGTGGGATCTGTAGTTTGGGGCATGAGGTCTTTAGCTGAGGTGTGCGAGCTCAGTAGTTGTGGCGAGCGAGCTTAGTTGCCCCGCGTCATGTGGGATCTTAGTCCCCTGACCAGGGATTGAACCCATGTCCCCTACATTGCGAGGTGGAGTCTTTACCACTGGACCACCATGGAAGTCCCTGGGCTTGGTTAATTTTAAGTCATCTCTCAGGAGATCAGAATGAAAAAAGAAAACTTAAAAAGAGGGAAAGAAAAACTAGGAGTTACCCAAAGAAGTACTCCTGTTAAGAAGCTTAAAATTCTTCTGTGATGTCATTTTTGATTGAGTTGCTTTGCATACTAAGTGGGTTTTCTTCTTACTCAGTGCTCACTTATACAGCAGTACTCTTTAGAGGGCACACGTAACTAGCAGTGAGTTTGATTGAAAAAATTTCTTTTGGTTTTTCTCTCCCTCGTCCTCTCTTGGTTTCCTCTGTTTTCTCCTTTCTGTCACCCAATTTCCTAAAACACAGAAAAGTGTGAAAAAGAGTTCCTCTTTTGGGTGATAGAATGCCAGTCAGTCCAAATTCCTTGGGGTTTAAAATAGCGTCAAATAATTATCTATCTAAATAATGGCTACTAAATTACTATCCAATCAGAATTAATTGGTTTCCCACTTTCTCTACGTTATTTAAAAAGAGAAATTTCTGATGCAGTGTGTATCTTGAAAATGTCTCTCCCTTTCATCTTCCTCCTCTTAGATTACAAGGCTTTTGAAGAGGCAGCTGAACATTTCCAGCCGTACATCAAATTTTTTGCTACTTTCGACAAAGGGGTAAGTACCTATGAAACCCCACTTTAACCGCTTTAAAGATTGAACTTCCCACTGCTTTTCTTTTGGCCACATTAACCATCCTCTATCCATTAACACTTTCTCCAGAAGCGTTAGAAATATGGCAGTAAATATGTCAGTGAATAAGAGATGAGTATGAGGATGATTAATTCAGAAGCTATATAAGGGTATTTCTGAAAGCATCCAATAAAGAGAGGTGAACCACTCTTTATCACCTTCAACACTAAGAATGGGAAGTGTGTGAGCCTAGAGTGTGCCAGGACACTGGTCACTGCTTCCTTTTTGTTTAGGGCCATCCTCTGCCTTCCTGGGGTTGCATACTTCCCCCTCTACTGGGTCAGGATGGGGGATGAAGTGGAGAGGAGCGCTGACCATCCGAAGCCCTGGTGCTTCAGAAAGTTACTTTCATCCTCAGGAGAAGCTATTGATGTACTTGTCTGTAATTCAGTGGATCCTTATTTTCTGGATGTGGCAAGTTCTTTTTTAAGCCAAAGAACAGCAGAGATAGAGGGATCTTGAATCAATGGGTAATTTCTTTGGGGTCTACTAAGGTTGGAGTACTCCACTCCGGTTCCAGTTACTACCAAAATGGCTACTTATTGAGTATTTTCTCTGTGTTGGGCACCATTTGATATATTGCATCTATACTATTTCTAATCCTTTAAACAACTCCAAAACAACTCTGAAAAGTAAAATACCCTGTTTCTCAGATGAGAAAAAAGATTTAGAAAGGTTAAGTAGTATCCAAGTTCTCCAGCGAATGAGTAGTAGGGCTGAGATCACAATTTAGGACAATCTTTACCTAAAACTCATGCCATTTCTTCCGTACCACACCACTGAGTAGAAGACTCTGTATCTGCCCTTGAGATTCAGGGTGCACACCCACACACCCACATTCATACTCACATCCACACAACACACACAGAACACACATACACAACACCCATATAACCACACACAGTACACACACTCACACAACATACAAGCATAACACATACCTCCTCACACTCACACCCACACACGTATAACACTCCCAGTACACATACGTTCAAACTTACATCCACGCCCTCCTACACATACGTACCCCAACTAAAGCCCTAAATCACAACGTTTACTAGAACAAATAAATCTAGGACACACTAAGTCCTGATCAAATCCAAGTGGTAAAAGTTGAAAGTAAAAAAGGCAAAAGTTACTCCTACTGAGGAGTAAGGCATTGATGAACAGTGCTCATGGGCCTTGCTACTTTGAGGACTTCAAGTTTTCTGTGAAAAACAAGAGGAAGCCTGTAGGTGCTGGAGCAGGGAAGGAGTATGGTGAAAAGAGATTGCATTAAATATATAGACATAACCACTTCTATGGACCTGACCCCAGTCTACAAGCCTATAATCCAGAAGAGAGCTCTATAATATAAATAATGTAATCTAAACTTGAAAAAAGTTTACCCTAATTGTTTGGATTAGAGTTGGGAGAGAGCTTGAACAAGAATATCAAAGGGAATAATAACTATCATTTATTAAGTACTTTTTATGTGTCAGGCTGTGTGCTGAGAGCTTTACATAGGTTTTCTCATTTAATCCTCTCAACACCCCTGTATAAGGGGGATTAGGATTCTCAGTCTACGGAAGCTGAAACCAAGGCACCAAGAGATGAAGTGATTTGTGATTTGCTCAGGGTCACACAGTGAGTAGGTCAGCCTGACTTCAAAGTCAACTGCTCTGTACTACTGTACCCCAGAGAAAGAAACACGACATGTCAAATGATTAGCGGCCGCCTGGCACACAGGAAGCATTCAGTAAATGTTAGCCAGTACTATTGTTAAGAAGAGGCAGTCATCTAAGCCCAGGAGGATGGAGGTTGGGAGGGGATATTAGTAGAGGAGGGGAGGTCCAGGGAAGCCTAAAGTAAATTCATCGCTGGCGTTTGGTTACGATGGGCCAGGAGTGAGGAAGGTGGCCCCTGGGTAAGAGCTCATCTGAGCAAAGAGAGAGTCAGGCAGGCAAGCCAGGCCAAGCAAGAAAGCCTCAGTCCTTAGAAGCGTGGTCCAATGCTGAGTTCAGGGTGGTGTCTCCTTTTAAGTGTGCCTCCCAGCCCAACCATATGGCTTCGTATCTGTGGACCATGGAGAAGGTGAGGTCAGGCTATAATTAAACACTCAGAAGGTTCTTCACTAAAGACTCTGTAAGACACTGAGTCATAAGTGCCCTTGTTCATATAGCCTTGTGGGATTTTATAACATTTATAAAGAGAGAGATGCACTCTCTACCTCTATAGAGAACACAGAAGGAAGAGCTGTTTCACCGAGCGGACAGGATCATGCCATCTGGGACTTGAGAACTTGCACTCATCAGTTGCGGAGTGGGGGAAGCGGTGGGGTCCACAAGGCATGGCTGCCCCCAGTCCAAGCCTCAGTGGTGTCCAGCAGGGGGTGCTAGAGCAGAAGAGGTGGGTGGAAGGACCTGGTTGTGAGACACATCCTAGGGAGTCCCAGAGGGACCTGGGGAAGGGGAGGTGCTTTATGGACGTTTGAAGTCAGGAGAGGCAAGGGCCCCGGGAAGCCCTAATACAGTCCCAAAGATGAAAAACTAACGGGCAGAGGTTGAGATGACTAGAGGACCTGGCCACTGTTGACATGAAGGAGAGAAAGACGAGAGAAGACACAAATAACTTAAGATCGCAAGTCTCTGCTTCAAGACAGCAAAGATTGTAAAGCTACTGAAAACATTAGGAAATCTAGGAAGAAGAATCTATACATAGGAACATAAGATGGGGTGAGGATCTCTAATCTCTACAAGCTGGGAAGACATTCAACTGGAAGGATCTTTCATTTATTGATTCATTCACTCACTTAGCAAGCGTTTATTGAGTGCCTGTTATGTGCCAGGCACTCTTCCAGATGCCAGGGACACAATGTTGAGCAAAACAGATTCCTATCCTTGTAGAATTTAGAGTTTAGTATATGGGATTGGTGGGTATATAAATATATTATATTAAATGTATTATATGAGTTGGAGAACTGTAAAGAGGATGAGATATCAGGGCCGCTGATGTAGATGTGGGAGTTTAGTAGTTTCCAACCACTGTCCATATTGGTATGCCCCAAGGAGCTTTTAAAAGCAAGGATTCTTGAGTCCCATCTTGGAAATTTGGATTTTTCTAGCATTGCGACCAGGCCCAGAAATATGCATTTTTCTAAAAGCTCCCTGAGAGATTTTACCTGGCACACAGGTTTGGGACCAGCACTGATCTATGGATCTTGATCCTACATCAAGCCACCCAAGGTCCTAACCTCCCTGAAGCAAATGGAGCAAGAGTCAGAGGGCTAAGGATGGTGTCCACTCTATGGCACCTCACAGCCTGGAAAACGTCAGTTCTAATCATCTCATGCTATCTCCCACTGGCCTGTTCTTTTCTCGGAGTGAACACTGAGAAGCAAAATCATTTTTTGAACCGTATTCGTCCAAAAGAAGCTGTGATTCTCTCAACAAAGTTGATGGGCAAGACAGATGTTGAGAAGACCTAAATTCATTGAGTTGTTTTCATCTGTAACAACCAAAATCGCTTGCTAACTTGTAGAAAAACATCTGTTATCAAAATTCATACACATGCAAATGTCAAAAAAATTGTACTTTGTAACTTTCTTGTCTTTGGCATACTCCATTCCAACTATTTTTTTTTTTAAGTACAAAAGAATTCTTTATATGGACCTCTTGAGTTTTTAATAGTAAAATCCATTCTTACCATCCATGAAACAGGTCTCCTCCCAGAACAGAACCTTGGATATAGTAGACCCCACTAAATATTTATTGAGGGAATGAAAGAATCAATGCCTCAATCAATCAAATCTCCTTCAGTCTTTACGATCCAAGATATAATTAAAAGAATGGAATTCTCTGAGATTCAAAAGGAGGAAATCTATGGTAGTGATGGGATATAGTGAACAGGTCTCTGGAAAATTTTGCTCAGGGTTCCAAAGACTTAAACTTACGAACATCATAATCCAACTTGACATTCATGGTCTTAACACTACAGACCCTAACATACACACACATATACACACGCACACTCACGTGCATAGGTGCATCTCCACTGCTTACCTCAATGGAGGGTCTGATGAGCTCCTTTTCACCTTCAGGAAGCCTTCATTCTAGCAGACTGTGCTAGGGATGAACTGATGAGAGCATGTTACAAGAGGTAGAAGGAAACCTCTCACTGTGACATGCACAGTGTCAAGGCAATACTTAAAGGGACATAAATTCCTTTCTGTACAGTGTCAAGGAGAAGGTAATTTTCAGATGAAAGGAAAGTTGGAACGGAGGCAAATTGTTAGTTGAGAACACTCTGCTTGACAAATTGCATACTCAAATTGTGCCTCAGGTCTGTCATTTGTAAAATAAGTATAATAATAGTTCTTACCTCATACGGTCAAAGGGGGGTTCATAAAGTAATCAACTGAAAACACTTTGCAGCAGTGCCTGGCACATAGTAAGCACTCCATATGTTTGCTATTATTAGTTTTTGCTCATCTGCTCACTTCCTACTTCATACAGACACAGTTTCCTGGTTCCTAAAATACGTAGTAAGTGAACTCAGAAAACCAGAATCCAATGTCATTTTCAAGCCCATTCCATGATGGGCCCAGCTTTGTGAAGATCTGTGTGTAAACCCAAACAGTGGTTGTAGAGTTGTTCTTTCCTCCCTTCCTCCAACCACACTCCTCACCCCCACCCCACTGAAGAGGGAAGAAAGTAAGAAAAAAACCCCACACCTTCTTGTCCTTTAAAACCAAATCAGCATGACCATTAAATCTCTTTGACTGCGGCTCTTAACACAGCATGTTTTCGTTAGCTCTGAGTAGGATGTTGGTATTTCTTTCCCTTAAGTCCTTAAGAAATGTCTTTTGGAATATAGTGACCTGGATGAATAGCAATTGACGACAAAAGCCATAGGGATACCAGTGTGTGCTCAGAATGGACCTCCTTGTGTAATACAGTTCCTCCCCGTCACCAATTAGTCACGGCTGCCCTGGGCCTCCACACTGTTGGTTACCACCACAGGGCATCAGCTCTTCGGCAATTCCTCTTTATTTTCAAGGGAACCACTGTTCATCCCTGTTTTTTCTTGGACCACAGCTTTGAACTAGAAAAGAATGGCATTTGGTTTTCTACAGAGCGTTGCACATTCCAGGCCTCTCAAATCATTTCACAAAAGGAGATGAGAGTTCAGCAGCTCTGCAGGCGAACACAGCAACCATTCTGCCCTGACCAGACCGCGTGGCCACGTTAATGAAGAGCGCAGATGGCTCCCAGGCTATGGGCTGGCTCCCCATGCTTTTTATTTGGTACAGCGTGAGCAACTCATCCCAGCTTGCTGGGTACTATCCCAGGGTTAGCACTGAAAGTCTGAATCCCGGGAAACCCCTCCACTCTGGACAAACCAGGATGGTGGGTCACCTTCTGACAGGTAACTAACCAGGCAGTTCCCAGAGCCTGAGAAACCGTAAAACAAGCCCGGGACTGAGAGACAACCCTTGGGCCAATGCTTCAACCAAAATAGCAGTTAGGGTTTATGAGCTGACAGAGGACAGATTCCTGGGTTGGCCCCTGATTCTGAGTACCTGTATGCTTTAAATGGTTTCTGTCAATTGCCTGTTCTATCAAAACTGATTCAATCAAATCCATACATCCCAGGACACTGAACATGATCTGTTGACATTTGCTTCCTCCTCCAGCCCCTGGCAAATACAGTAGAGTGATGGTGATGGTGGAATTAAATTTCCCACCTTTCATTCTGACTGCTCTCTGGCCCTGATTGGATCTCATTTGCCAGAGAAGTTTTTTTCTATCTGTCCTTTGATCACAAAAGTAGATCGGTCCAGCCAGGTGGACCGACGAGTTAGGTGATGAGCTCCTATCATTCCAATGTTTAAGTAAAAACCATGCATACACTTTCATGTCTTTTTCAGAGAACACACACACCTGTAGCTGGACAACCTATTGCTACTCTAGACTAGTGTTCAAGGAAACTATTGTCTTACTTCTAACTGTTACAGGTTGCAAAGAAATTGTCCTTGAAGATGAATGAGGTTGACTTCTATGAGCCATTTATGGACGAGCCCATTGCCATCCCTGACAAACCCTACACAGAAGAGGAGCTTGTGGAGTTTGTGAAGGAGCACCAGAGGTGTCCCAGATGGCATGCAGGGGTGGGGGCAGGGGGGATCCAGGGCCTGGGAGATGGAGAAAAGCCTCTCAGTCCTACCATTTCAGACCCCCAAGGGCAACAACCTGGAGTTAGTAACCGAGCAGAACTGAACTCAGTAGTGTGGCTTTGTTGGTCATTGATCAGTGGCAGGGACGTTGCTATGTTTTCTGAATATGGGTCTACACTTGCAAACAAGGTTAGACCACCTCCCTGCAGTGAGGAAATCACCTCATACCGTAGGATGTAAGTAAATTCTACAACGATAATGATAGTGCTTTAGTGACAGCCTCCTAAAGTACTATGTTAGGTGCTTTTGGAAACTATATTACCTACTCTTCAACATTATGGGGTAATTATTATCATCCTAATTTTACAGATCAAGGAATTGGGCTCAGGGTAGTTGAGTAACTTAGTCAAGGATGAACATTTTATGCATAGAACTTCTGGGAGAGGAAGAGTTGATACCACCAGCTCTAGCATGGATCAGCAAGCTTTTTCTACAAAGGGCCAGATAAGAAATATTTCAGGCTCTATGGGCCACATGGTCTCTGTTGCAGATACTCAATTCTGCCGTCATAGTGTGCAAGCAGTCACAGGCCATATGTAAACAAATGGGTGTGGCTGTGTCCCAAAGGAAGTTTATTTATAAAAACAGGAGCCATTGGCTGGATTTGACCCACCAGCTGTAGTTTGCTGACCCCAGCTCTTAAGGGAGGGACAATACTGGAACATGGAATATGGTGGTGGTTCACCCTCTCACCCACCCACCCTCCCCTCCACATGCTCATATAGGTTCATTGAACCTGGAGCATCATGATTCCATCACCCAGTCAGCTTGGTCCCTACAGGGATGCAGCACTTGGAGGAACAAATATCAACATGTCTAACAGTATATGTCAACAGTCAAAAAGAAATGAAACCATGAGCAAAAGATAGATCCAACCTGCTCCTCCGAACATCCCTAAAGGGCTTTTGATGGATGACCCTGGTGATAAAACAACTGTAGTTCTGGGCTGTTTTCTCTCCTGGGTCTCCTCATTCTAGGCCTGCTCTGGGTTCTCAGGAGTGGCAGCTGTATGTGAGGAGGGAAATGGCTTCTTGGCCTGGGAGCGAGCTGACTCCGTGCCCTCTGACCCATTATTTGTAATAGATTTTATAATCCTTGGATCAAATGGGCCCATGAAAAGGCTGAGAGCTTTAGGCCCAGCTCTGTGTGTGACACAACAGGGTCAATCTGCTCTGTCTCCGTAGGGGAGAAAACAGGTACGTAGACACTCTTGAAAATGGACCAACATCTCATTCTACATTTCACTGTGCTGAGGCTTTGGTGTCAGCCAAGGTAATCCCTACTCAAGAAAGCTCATCTTTTTTTTTTTTTTTTTTTTCAGACCCACTCTACGTCGCTTGCGCCCAGAAGATATGTTTGAAACATGGGTAAGAAAGTGGCAAACTCTTTCTGCTTTGTAGAGACGGGTATATTCCCCAGGAGGAATACCCCTTTGAGTTCCAAAACTCAAACCAAGTCTTATTTGCCTGGAGTGGATGTCTGGATGGTGGAGAATTTGAAATGTTGACAATATCACACTGAGTTACAACCCAGTTCTTCTGGGCTGGCCAGTAGGCAAAATTACTCTATCTCTGAGTTCATTTCCTAGAGTTTCTACTGGCTTTCATTCACTGGCCACCAGAGACCCAAGGCCACATGGTAGAAGGAGCCCAGACCATGAGTTACATACAGACTTGAGCTCAAGCCCACAGTCTGCCACTTAGTAGCTTTGCAACCTAGATCAAGTCACGTGGTCTTTCTGAGCTTTAATTTCTGTATCTAAAATCAGGCTTTTTGTAAGGATGAAAGGTGTGAAGAACCCAGACATAGGGGGTACTCCATTAATGCATGGTAGCTGTTTTTGTAAATATCAACTCAAGGCACTGGAAAATGCTGAGTCAGACTGTCCCATAGGTCTGTGTCACAGACAAGACGTAAGGTGGCTCATATTGCATTAGAAAGAGGGCCTTGGAGATACACTCTCCCCGCACCCCCCAGCTTTATACAAAATTCTGTAAACAGTAACAACCAAAGTCTATGGAGCATTTTTCAAAGCATTTCATGCATCTTTTTACTTGGATCTCTCAACAGTTCTAGAAAGTGATATAGAACAAGTATTATTTTAGCTTCCTGGGGAAACTGACAAGCATACAGATTAAATTAATTACTCACGGATACATAACTAATAAGCATTAGATCTTGGGACTTAAATTTAGACCACCTGGGGCCAAATCTCATTTCTCCCGTATACCTCTTAGAGTGGACCATGTCCCCATAAGGCAACATTCTGGCGGGGAGGGGGCAGAAAGGGATTAACATGGAAGCATATATTTACTCTCTAACTCAGAGTCTAAAGTGACAGATGAACAGAACCGTGGAGTAACTTGACACCCTCTGTTTTACTGGCATGTAACTTCTTTGGATGTCTGAAGGCAGAACAAACGTTTCACACCGAAGGCAAATGATCTGGTCCAGAGCAGAGGACTATTGAAGAGCAGCACAGCACAATAGAAACATCTTTTCCTAACATTTAAACCTTTCAAAAATTTAACCTTTAGGAGGTCTCATTATTAGATTTAAAAATAACGAAAAGCATATAACAGTGCTTTGAAAATAATATTCCTTTTTGAAATATTTTCACTTTTCACCTAAGACAATTTCAGACTTATAAAAAATAGTGCAAAGAATTCCATGATCTCTTTACCCAGATTCCCCAAATGTTAACATTTTACTCTTTTTGCTTTATCACACACTCTCTTGATAGATATACAGATTTTTTCCTGAACTGTCTGAGAGTAAGTAGCAGACCCAATTCCCCTTTGCTCCTATATACTTCAGAAGTTGTCTAAAAACAAGAACTTTCTCTTACATAATCATAGTATGCTTATCAAAATCAGGAAATTAATACTAATATAATTCCACGTTTAAATTGACCAGTTGTCACTAATATCCTTTATAGCAAGAGAAAACATTTGTTTTTTTCCTGGCCCAGGATCCAATCCTGGATCACAGGCTTATGTTTGGTTGTTATGTTACTTCAGTTGCCTTTAATCTGGAAGAGGTTGTTGGTTTTTGTCTTTCATGACACAAGGTACCATTTTAAATCGAGAGTGATTGTTACTGTTCTGTTCTGCTATGCCTTTATCTATACTTCTTCTTACTTTGTTCATTCTTAAGAGATAAGTCTCTAGGCTCCTGGAAGGGAGACACTGCAAAACTGTAGAACCCTTCTCTCAGGTCTTTCCTCACTGACATAGCAGTATCACACCCCAAACCACCACACCATAGCGGGAGATGTCCTGTCCCCTCCTTCACAGACACCCCTAATCCTCCACACTGCCTGATCACAGACACCCCTAATCCTGCACACTGCCCTGAAGAAATGCTCTCTCTCCCATATCGGAGGTAGATGTTCAGAAAGAAAGTTCACTGCCTGCCTTCACTGGAACCCATTCTCTGCTTTCTTTTCACTTAGTAAGTTACAGCTTTCGCTATACTATAAGATAACAGTGATGGCTCACGTTATTATATATTCAATTGTTTTCTAGCTGGGAAAGGGCTGTGTATTGAAGTTAACCAGGTAGAGAAAAGGGCAACCAGACTGGTTTACTCCTTTCCAACGCCCCATCATGGAATACCCACATGATTCCCCAGAAGCCCTAGCCAGACCTAGTCAGCCCCTCATCCAAGTCTCCAACTAGGGAGGGAGGGCAAAACAGGCCATCCAGGGTTATCTTCACATCCTGAAAAAGGAGGAGCAGAAGTCAGTCTGTCAGAAGGCTCTTTGGGGAACCCCTCTGCCTATCCCCAACCCATCCACATGTGCCCACCCCCAAAGCAGCATCTTCCTGGGCTACTTGGCCATAGCAACTTAAACCCCACATGTTGGGGAAAGTGACCAGCTCATGAACTTTGAAGTTTTTATCTTCAATACCCACTTCCTTAGACATTGCAAGATATTTAAATAAAATAGTGAAACTAGGTAGAGCTAAAGCAACTATTGACCTTCTCTCCCAAACGCTACAGGCTTTTAAAGCAGCAAATCATAGAAAACACATAACTTATTATTCCTAAAAACATTATGCCTAGTAATATCTGCTGTGTGAAAATCAGGCAGCTTTTTTTTTTTTTTTTTTTTTTTTGC